GGTTGATGATTTCCCATAAAATGGATAATCGAGGCTTTGTTTATTATCGTAACAACGGTAGCAATGATAATAGAGGCTACACTGAAATTGTATCCCCGATAACTAGGCTCGGAGTGATATGATTCGACCGAAATTTCAACATATTCCCTTTTCATTATCTTTTTTTAACTATTATAGCGAGAACTGTAAGATCACAACATCAATGTTGATTTAAATCGACAAATATTTCGTGTTTTCAATGTCGGAGATTTTGGATGATATTTAGTTAGAGACTTAGCTACTTTAATATATGATTCTATGGCGACAAACATTAGCTGGGTTTCTCCGGGTCCTCCGGTTCCTCCGGTTTCACCCCACTGCTAAAGAATCATATTTGTAAGCGAATTATTGAAATAAAATTGAACCAGATGTTAGTCTCGAAATGACATAGTTTGTATATAGAGCGCACATTAACCTGGTGGGTCTTCTACGAGACCTTCGGCAGTTACCCTTCCACTTTAAAGAATAGATAGAAATGGGTTTTAACGTCCAGTCGACACAAACTAGGTCATTTCGGGACTAACATATGGTTTAATTTTATTTCAATAATTCGCTTGCGCGTAGGGGTCTATAGCAGTGGGAGGAAACCGGAAGACCCGGAGAAAACCCACGAGGCCACTTTAAAGAAGCTAAGTCTCTAACTCAATATCATCCAAAGTCTTCGGCATTGAAAACACGAATTATTTGTCAATTTAAATCAACATTGATGTTGTGATCTTATTGGGAATACATGGGCCTCTGATATCCAATATTTAAGTCAAAACAAACATTTTACCATTGGTACACGTGCGTTTCAGCGCCATTTGTGTCGAGTGGACGTTCAACTCTCTCTCTCTCTCTCTCTCTCGCTCTCTCTCTCTCTTCACCTATGTATAAATACAGATTATACAATAAGTATAAGACCTATCGATTATCAATCATCGATATGTATTACCTGTTCATCATAGATAATAGTGTAACCATTTGTAAGAAGATTATAAAAATTGATTATTCGCGTCAAGTAGGCTATGTGTAGTGAGCGAGTCCTTTAACATTTCACGTAATCCGAACTGTACTGTAGATAACCCATGTTGGTCACGATAATAGCTAATTATAGGTACATACAACAATAATTGTGTATGTAGCTTGTTCTTCAGGTAAATCACACCTTTTTATAATCTCAATTTTACAATTAAATATCAATAAACGTCACCCATAAATATCCAGAATTCGCACAAAAATAAACGGTTTGACAAAGTGAAAAAATATTAAAATTATGCGCTTGACGCCACAACTTGTCATAAATTGTTAACTTGTTTTGGGGAAAACTGATAAATGACATTTGGCTTTTATGTCAATCCCATAATTCGTCACCTTTTTAAAATCCTTCGGTTAAACTCTTTTTGCTTTTCACTGCTTAATTACCTTCTCACTCTGAAGAGTTTATTCCAGGGACGTTTCGACCAGGGTTCTCCCGTCTTTATCAAGCAAAGAATGACAAACATAGTACAATGAAAATGAAATGAAATGAAATGGGGTTTAACGTCCTACTGTTCTGCTCCTATGCTGGGCTAATGAAGACGGGCATATATACGCCATATAGTGTGCTATGAGGGAAATTTTGCCCGGGCAGCGGCACTATCGCCTACTCTTATATCGAATTCCAACTGCCAAGAGATCTTTTACGTGCACTCCAATGTATACACGTGACCTCGGTTTTTCGTCTCATCCGAAGGACTAGATAGCTGTCCTGGTCAGGCCCTCCATCCTGCATCACTGACATGGGGGAACCACGCTGGAAAATCTGGATGAACTTTCTCGGCCAATGCAGGGATCGAACACCCGACCTCCAGGCTAGCGAGCCAGCGTCTAACCCACTTAGCCACGTGATCCCCCACTAGCCACGTGATCCCCCATAGTACAATGAAGATATATATACAACATATGGAACAAAGACAAACATCTATATTTTGTATCTATATATCTTCATTTTACTTTAGTTGTCATTCTTTGTTTGATAAAAATGGGAGAATGCTCGTCGAAACGTCGCTCAATAAACTCTTCAATTAACATGTATTCCATAATTGTGTCATGTGTTACGTCTAGTTTGCTACTATATTTTACTGTAACAAAGTTATCAATGCACGGGTTATTATAATGTCTCATTGAATTGGAAAGAAAGGTTGAATGGAATGGAGTTTTATGGCACGTTAGCACGTCAGCTCCCCCAGGCTATATTGCCCCTATGGTGAAATATAAGACAGGCTAAATTATACCCTGCAACTATATTCGTATGCTAAATAAAAACAAATATCATATCGCTTATCAATAAAAACAAACATCACATTGCTTATAAATAAAAACAAATATCACATTGCTTATAAATAAAAACAAATATCACATTGCTTATAAATAAAAACAAATATCATATTACGTATAAATATTTCAAATATGTAAAGCGTTTTATAGAATTTATAATATATGTATACAAGTTTTTTTTTATAAATTCTATAAAACGCTTTACAATATAAACCCGGTTTGACAAATAAATTCTGTAATGCTAGCAACGGTACCATTTTTTGATCTTCTGTCATTGAAACCCTTGCACTCAATCAGAGTTGGAAACCAAGACAAGCCTAGGCAGGACATTTTTCACGGAGATTTAATTTAAAGTGATGTCTCTTGTAGAGTTAGATGGGATGGGACGAGGGTCCTCTCGTTGGGCGAATTTGGGGAATTTTGTAATATCTCCCGGATCTAGAAGCCACCTTTATGCCCCCCCCCCCCCCCACACACACCTTGCATGTCCTATCACCCCAGACACCGTAAAAAGAGAACCTACACTACAAATATATTTCAATAATGAATTCGTTGGCTTATTAGTCATTAGTCAGTAGGGAGTCACGGTGGCTAAGTGGGTAAGACCCTGGCTCACTAGCCTGGAGGTCGGGTGTTCAATCCCTGCATCGGCCGAGAATGTTCATCAAGATTTTCCGGAATGGTTCCCCCTTGTCAGCGATGCAGGACGTAGGGCCTTGACAGTTGGAATTCGATATGAGAGTAGGCCGTAGTGCCTCTGTCCGGGCAAAATTTCCCTCATAGCACACTGTATGGCGTATGCCCGTCTTCATTAGCCCAGTCGGAGCTGTACAGTAGTAGGACGTTAAACCCCAATTCATTTCATTTCATTAGTCAGTATATATTTAGAAAAATGCAATGGACTTATAATATTAATACGTATCCAAACTCTTACAATTTAAGTTTTGTTTCCAGCTTTTAAATAAATTAAATCAGAATTTATTCAGATTGGTTATTACGGTGATTTAACTCGACACATATTTAAAAATACATTATGTATTTTAAATTTATGTTCAAATTTTATTTTAGCCGCCTTTAAATTATACTGCATCATCTATTACGTTATCGAATTACGTCATAATACGTCACGAGGTGATTTAATTAAAGTAATTATACACTATTGGGGTTAATTATCTTGACCTCTGAATCTTCGAGTCTTATAACACTAGAAATTGGGAATATCCGATACCCCCATCGGGAGCATTCGTTGCTTAGTTTCATTTACACTTCTAGTACAGGCTGTGTTATCGATTTACAGATCTTAGGCCTTTGTAAGAAACAAAATAAACAAAAACCTGTGAGAATTTGGAGGCCCCGGCCTTGACTTGACAGGTGTGACCCATGAGAGGCTGACTAGTCGTTTTGATAGGACAAAAAAAAAGAGGCCCACTCGTCTAAATTAATGTCCAAATTTTATTTTAGCCCCCCTGCCCTTAAATTATACGGCTTCATCTAATATATTATCGAATTACGTCATAATACGTCACGAGGTGATTTAATTAAAGGCTGACTAGTCATTGCGATGGGACAAAAATAGAGGCTCACCTGTCTACACATAGGGAGCCAATCTCAGGTGTGTGTGTGTGTGGGGGGGGGGGCGGTATTTGCCCGAAACTTTTCTGTCCCTGTGATGGTTGCTTATTTTTTAATTAATTATACAATTACACAACAATTTAAATTTACAGTATGTTAAGCAAAAACAACTGAATGTTCCCCATTTTCTAATGTTTGTGCCCGAGAAACGGAAATACATTGCCTGTAAAACGGGCGGTTCACCGAATCTGGGTGGTAATACGCTTGCACGCAGCCCGGGATATTTACAATAGAAGGGAAACAATCGATGAAAGTTCCGTATAAGACCCACGAGGTTAGGAGATGCGGATCAAATGGTTAACGCGTGCGCATTGTGTAATTAGGTCTGTCATTGAGTCAAATGGCGTGGTTTCGATTCCCCGCTTGCCTGGGCAACCTCGTGCGTTTTCTCCGGTTTCCTCCCACTGCTAAAGACTCATACACGCAAGCAAATTAATGAAATGAAATTGAACAATATGTTAGTCCTGAAATGACCTAGTTTATGTCGATTGGACGTTAAACCCCATTTCTGTCTCTCTCTCCCTCTCTTCAATGTCCCTGTTGTGGAAGAAAAGTAGGATGGTAAACTTCACTTTATTTTATTGTCCTAACCGTCGATAAAATATGCAAAACTTGGACTGTTGGTTAAGATTGTATTTGGCTACACCCGAAACTAAATAAACTGCAATTGAGTTGGGCTACTTGTATTACATTCAAAATGAAACAAACCAGAAATTGTGCAGCGGATAATTGTTTGGTATTTGAACTATTACTGTGCTGTTGTTGTCCATGACGGGTTGGTCTGAAGGTGTCTGTGGGTATTCAAGTGTAAAATAGACCTGAATTACCAGTCAGCTATCTCTATTTAATGTCTCGCTTGACTGAACGATATAAATAGATTTTATACGGCTTGATGAGAGTTGAGAGGAGAGACTGGAAGAGTGGGTCTAATTTGAAAGGCTCGTGAAGAAAAGAAGTAAAAATTCGTGTTTAAAGGCAATACGTGAATACACACAATCATGATTGATTAACAAGAGCCGCGGTCAAAACCTGTGACCACCCGCGGTCCTCGAGGGGGCGGAGCTTATTTCATCTGTCACTCTGTCAATCAAAGAGCACTGGGAACAAAGAAGTGTAGCAAGTGGCGTTCTGTTCTCATAGGCAGCCAGTTGTAGTTATACGTTGAAGCGAATGGATATAGTGAGAGCGAGAAAGGGGGAGATAGATTCATGGTGAAAAGTCATAATATGGATAATTTGAAATCTTGTGTGATCCAAGGAATAGTGTAACTACAGTGCAATACGTTAATATACCACGGTTAGTTTATAGTTATTACGTATATAACAACATATACTACTACTACAGGCAACAACAATGTGTTTAGTTTATTCAGCGATTAATATATATGATGGATTAGAAACCACACAATACTATGTGTTTATTGGATTTTTCTAAAAGTGTGTGTATCGCTATATTATATGCATCGAGTTGTTAATTAAACATTCGTATCATATTATATACAGAGAAGTATTACTCAACTGATCGATTCATTTCGTATCTTTGCTTCAGCCAATGTAATTAGGCCCTTTTTTGTTGTTCTTTCCCATCAATCAAATCTATAAATGTTCTTATTATTTATTTCAGAATTCATGAGGGCTAGGATTTATTTGTGCTCACTGATTTGGTCAAACTATTTTCTAGTTCAATGAAGGAGTTCTGTATTTATTCAGAAACCATCGTGATGGAAGTGAGAAATCGAGGATTTATTTTATCGTTTTTTTTGTAGCTGTGATTGTTTTCTACTTGAAGTGGAAGATACCTATCTTAAACAAGCCTCCGAGACAAACATCGTATTTGTCCGAGGCTGGTCCACGGGATAATTTAGGTGTGGGGTCGTCGGGAAAAAAATGAGCGGTCCGGAACACCATGTCCATGCTACAGCCGATAAAGGCCTCAAAATGAAGATAAAACGAAAAAATATCGGAGTGAACAAAGCAGACAGCAAACACGAAATCGTTAAAACGGAGGGCAAAGGTCAAATTGTCGATTCGGCTAATACCACAAGCTCTGGTGCTTTAAACGGGATGTCGGATAAATCTAAACAATCAGCTACGTCGACAGACAAAGACAGGTCGCCCTATAAAAGTAAAAACGCCCATAAAAAGGAGAAAACAAAAGATAAAGGCAGTAAATGTAATGAGTCGGGAAGTAAAGTGGCCAACGGATCTAATGGATTAGATGAATTATTCAGTAAGGTTACCATGGAGCCAAAAATAGGGGACGTGGCCCACGGAGTTAAAAAAGAAACCGAGTCCTTATTGGACCCTTATGATTTTAATACCGAAGATGATGGAATCGCACTACCAACTAAAAAGGTTAAAACAGAAAAGGTGAGATGTGTTTATTTTTGTCTTCTTTTCAAATTTATTTTACAGAAATTAAAACACTATTTGATTAGGGAATAGAGACCGTGACATCGATGACATGATTAATGGCTGCCTGAGATAAAAATCAAAGCCTAATTTGATTTGGATGAAAGCCAATTAGTCGAATCTTCTGAAGCCATTATAACTGAGTGATACTGAATGAATGAAATGTTTTTCTATGAATAGGCCTACAGAGATAATAGAATACGTCGGTTAGGGTATGAATGTTAAAAATAACAATACAAAAAAAACAAAAAACAATGCAGATTAGTCATAACTGGTAAAATGTTTTAATTTCCAATAAAAGACTAGATTGTAACATGACTATTACAGCAGGCCTATAGATTATGATATGGCTATTAGGCCTATATATTATAATATGGATATTAGGCCTATTGATTATAATACGGCTATTAGGCCAATAGTTTATAATAATAAAGCTATTAGACATAATTAGGCTACAGTAGGCCTAGAATAGAATTTAATGATCTTTTAAACAAATTCAATACCTGTCACTAATATAGTTTTAATTATCTAAAATTCCATTTTAACCTAAAAAAAAGTTTATTTTTCACACATTGTACCCCTTAAACAAGTGATTAACATCCAATGGGAGTTTAACTTCCTAATCGTCTAAAACTAATGGGCTAATGGGTGGGTGGGTGGGGGGGGGGGTGTTGTAGGGGGCTACCAGTTCTATGTTATTTCAATAAAAAAATAAGTAAATCCGAATGAGGGTTTTATTAGATCTGTAAACAGTTGTTGAGGTTGATAGTAAGTAGAAATCGTATACCAATTAAATTAACAATAAACGACAAGCTTATTAATTTTTTTATGTGCCGATAACTTTACGTTTTTTAAATTTATCGCTTCTTTTCTGAGTCTAGATAGAGAGTTATCCCCACAGAGCGGTACATTAACTCTCATTGATTCTTTTAATGTCAGTTATTTCTCAAACTATCCGCCAAGCCATTGATAGTCGAGTCTGGATCAATAAATCTAACCCATTGAAATCATTGACAGTAAAAATTATCGAGATTACATCAAGCCTTACATTAGACATATCAGTATTAAAATAAAAAAATAAATAAATCCACACATTGTTTGGCGTATTTTACAGTCTTGGGAGTTATTGGACATTAATGAGCAGTGAGTATGTTTATATATTTATTGTCATGCGTTTTTTTATTAGACAATAAAGTACAACATGTCATGTTACAAATTATGACATTTCATATCCTTTCAATTTCAATCAAATAACACAGGTTTTCTTGTTGCTCCAGAATGTGTAATAGTTTTTATGGGAATTTGTCATTGAGATTGGAGTAAACAAATATTTTTATTTCCAGTATGTCGGGAGTATATGAAATATTGATATAATGTATCTAAAAACAAGCCCAAGTTTCTATATATAAATTCATGTCCATTTATAGGAGATTGAATAACAAACATATCCATGCATAAAATAGGATATCAAAAAAAACCATGTGAAGCCATTTATTTTTAAAAACAATACTAACAACTGAAGAAATATATGACCTGGCTTTTATTTCTTATAAGATAATAAATATTTAACAGTTTTTCACTTGGTGTAAATTACCGCGATGATCCTAAAGTGTTAATTTTCATAGCGTTATTTAAAATGGCGTTTCATTTGTCTAATGGCTTTTGAGGGCCTGTTAAAGAGATTGAGTTAGGCCATTACTGAAGCTAGGCTTAGTAAGATACCAGAGCGCAAGAAAGACTGATGATAGAACGCCTGGGGTGTTTTTTCAGATGTAACAAAAGGCTTTCTGTAGCTTTTAATTGGGAATAAAAATGAGTGAGGACATCTCGAGTGGTAATAATACAGACTTATGGTTTATTTGGTTTATATATGCTGTTATGTAAACGACCTGGGTTTGGTGTATTTACTGTGATATTTATTATTAGAAGTAATAATGCTGCAATAAACATTGTTTTCGAGTTTTAAAAATAGCTGAATGTCAGTTTGTAATGGGAGGGTGGGGTCAAAAGGGGCGGAGCTTAGATTGATTGACGTAATGTTAAACCTTTCGCACACCAGGATGGATTTAAAAGAAAAAGAACACGAATGCCTGTGTGATTAAATACTGAGAATTCTCAGATCGTTTTTATATCGTTTAAAGCACAATTTTATTATTTGCCCGTGAATCAATTAAATTTATTTGATATTATCTTTAATGGTGAAATGATGTCTTTGTTCAGAAATTTATGTTACCGGTTTCTTATTCCTTTTAAAATTTTTGTAAACAATTTAAAAAAAAAAATATTTTGTCAATGGCTAAAAGGAAAGAGTTTTAAAAACAGGATGGATGTAAGATTATGTTACAATTCATTGTGCATGACACGTCATCGGTTAACTCGACCGGTTAAAATAGTGTTTTAGAGGCTATTTGTTTCTGTGTTAAAGATCAGAGATAGGGAGGTACAAGGAATTGCCGACCGCGGTCTATTTTGTCTGTATCCAGCACTGTCTTCGTTATCCCGGTGGTTGCGCACAAATAAAGATTATGCCAAACTCTCATTTACATGGCTGTGTCAAGTATATTTTAGTTAAAATAGCATCCTAGTAGGTGAGTAGGCCAATATAATTTTCCTGTCGGCCTACAATGTAAAGCTTGTTTAATTTCTACTCCTGTGTATTCTACAATATTTAAATATTTATATTTTGACTGGTTGCCAAACTACACAGATCTGAATGGATTATAATGTGGCTATTACACTAGGCCTACAGATTACTACAGTAGGCCTATAGATTATTATAGGCTATTAGTAGGCCTATAGATTGCTATCAGTAGGCCTGTAGTTTATTATACCGATATTAGCCCTACAGTAGACCTTAGACCTATATGGGATGCAATGATTACTTTAAACAAATATGATACCTGCTTTAAAGAGGAGTTTAGTTACTTATCTAAAATAATTCCATTTTATTGAAATCATACTAATAAAAGTGTATTTGTAACAAGCTGAACTGTATGAACTAGGTATCACCTAGTGCTATAAATACACTTTTAATTAGTTTTGTGCTCTTTTTACATCTGATGTGATCGTGCGATCATGCGAGTGTATTATTACAAAATGTTTCTGAGAGTTTATTCGAATATGTTCCATGTCCAAATAGTCTGAAGGATATGAATATTGGGGAGGCCGATCATTAGGCTTAGTGTTTACCCTTTCCAAATTAAAGTAACTTTTATTGTACATGTATGAATGTCATGTATGAACTCAGTGAGGCGCTCTTTAAGTATTTTACACTTTCCAAATTAATTATCAACACCCGATTGATTTTTATAGATATTAAAAGTTATCTCCATTTATTTTATTATTTTATTATTTAAAATAATTCTCTTTTCATCATCACTTGGATTGTGTTGGGTTCTTTTGTTCCACTTCAGCCCTTAACAACAATAATCTCTAGCATGATTAGCCCTTTATCCAACACCCTACCACTATAATCACTCAACCGTGACATTATCTACCACCTAGCCATGTTATCATTCAACCATGACTTGATCTACCTACTCATGTTATCACTCAACCATGACTTTATCAGTTGTGTCAAGCTGGTCACACTTCAGTGAACAAATTGATTAGTCCAGGGATATTGTTTATTTTGTAATTTTGGTGTCTGCAGTTAGCTGTTTTATTTTACGATTCTGTTAAAGTTAACAAACATTTCTGGTAGAGATTTTTTGTTAGCAAAAACGATTTTTAGAATAAGCTTGATAGGTCATAATGATAATGATAATGATAATGATTTATTCTTAATATAGCGTTTTACATACATTATCACAAAGCACTTTACAAATAATACATAAATCACATGATACAAAATATATACAAAAAGATTACTTAAAAAACATAAAGGCCTAAAAATATTGTTTGATAGCTTAAAAATAGTGACATTTAAAGAGGTCATTGTTATCATTCATAACAAAACACAACACAAGATATATATGGATAGAACTTTTCTATATAAAAGAATTGAATGGTTAACATGTTGCAGTAGTGTTTCCTTATTCAACTGGGAAATATTCTCCATGGTTATACATGTATGGAATATAATGATATGGTGTTTATTACAGAACAATGTTTCCACTAGTATTCTATTGTCTTTATATAGCTAACATCACTTAGTAATAATAGTAATTGTACACATCCCATTGGCATCTTCAATAGAAGACTTCATCTCTAACTATGTATATTAGATGTTTCAGGAACATGTCCCAATGGAGGATTCGTACTGCTCTTGTATACATATATACATATTTCTTTTCATTTTATTTATTTGTGTTATATGGTTGATAACAACTTCTGAAATCTTGTTGAAAGTCGCAGTGAAATAAATCATAGTAATTGTTATTCTATAAATAGTGTGTTATAGTATTGTGCCCTGTGTTTATTAGTATTTTGGGGGTATGGATGGCCGAATGGTTAGCACATGCGCGTTGTATCATAAGGTCTGTTATTGAGTTAAATGGCGTAGTTTCGATTCCCCGGGTTGTACGTGACAAAGAGTAGAGTCGCCTGTCCAACCTCGTGGGTTTTCTCCGGGTCCTCCAGTTTCCTCCCACTGCTAAAGACCCCTACGTGCAAGCGAATTATTGAAATAAAATTGAACTATATGTTAGTCCCAAAATGACCTAATTTGTGTGAGTGGACTGTTACCCTCTCTCTCTCTCTCTCTCTCTCTCTATTTAGTTTGTATTTAAAACAGCCATTATTGGTTGTATTCTATTAATATTTAAAACAGTCATTAGTTGATATATTATTTGATATATTATATCAATATTCAATCTATTTATTTTTATAAATTATCATGTTGCCATCTGTTACGAGCAGACCCGACCGCGTTGTCTATTGTATATGTGTATTCTATATACATAGTTAATAGACTGCGGCCAAAACTCATCTCGTTAATTGATGAGCTAAAAGATACTTTAAAGTAGCATATGTTGTGCATTTAGCAGGGTATTTCTCATTTACAGGGAGTCACAGTGTCTTCATTATCTTGGTTGATGCAGAAAAGTAGGACGATAAACTCCATTTCATTTGATTCATCTCTCATATTCATCTGACTTGCGTATGTTTGACATTAAACCATTTTTAATCTCCGAAATTCAAAGTTATTAAAAGATTGTGTTCGTTAATTGTCTCTCAACATGATACCTTACCTGTGGTACCCCAGGTGTGCATTTGTCAGGTGTCAATCATTTAAAACTAAATTTTGATATTTTTTTTTATTTTTTCAGGTTGAAAGTGCTAGTTCCCCAATGCAGACGGATTGTCATAATATTGGAGTTGAGACATGTACTGTCGGTGTGTCCACGGAACCAGATTGTCTGGGACCGTGCGAACCGGGAACTTCCGTTAATCTAGAAGGAATTGTCTGGCATGAAACAGAAAATGGTAAGTACGCAGAAAGGCTTGTTTCAATGTACACATTTTTGTGGCTCTTCCGCACTCGTTTTCGCTGTCGAAAAAGTTGTTTATTATAAATGTAATGGGGCCGTTTCTATGTAATGTGCGAAAACATGCGCGGAAACACACCAAAAACACGCACATGGAATACAAGCTTTAGGTTTTTTTTATTGTTGACAATGATTCTTGGCCGATAGCCGATACCACAAACATGGAGTTATAACCCTCTAAAAAACAACCCTACAAAACAAACGGACGATATCAACTTTCAGCGGTTTAAAAATAACCCTACAAAACAAACAGTGTTGTTACAAAAAAAGGTTGTAAATTTAACATTGACTTAAAGTTACTACTCTTTATTTCGGACGATATCAACTTTCAGCTGGTTAAACATACATTCATTATTCAAGAGGTAAATCTGCCTATTGCAGGTCTTTCTTTAGGCCTTAAATGTTTTAAAAATTATTAATTAGACATTTAATAACACGACAAGACCATAATCAACTCTCGATGCCATCGAATGCTTGGGATTTTGAACTACATTAGAACGGTTCGATCATTTAATGATTTAATTTAAAAATGGAGGAGCGAGTCATAGTTTGGAATATACCAGTACCGTGGTTACGATAATTAACAATCAGTGCACACATCTTGTTTAAACTACAACCATTGATAACTTGTCTCAAAATAAAGTAATTTGAATGAAATTTTTAATGTATAGACTTGAAATGAAAATATTAACATACTAACATACAGACAGAGAGGGGCTAATCATCTCCCTGTCAGCCATTTTGTCTGTATACAAAATATTAACATACTAAAATACAGACAAGAGAGGGGCTAATCATCTTCCTGTCGGCCATATTGTCTATTTAAAAATATAGAGTTAAGAATTAAATTATGCATTGTTTAAAGAAAAAAATGATAAAAAAAAGAAAAAACTTAGTTCGACTATTTGGTGATAAAACCGTGCATGATACAGCTTTATATTTATTTACGATTTAGGTGATAATTTGCTGTATAATTTATTGTAGGTGTTTTAGTAGTTAATGTTACCTGGAGAGGTAAAACCTACGTCGGAACACTTCTTGATGCCACGAAACACGACTGGGCACCACCAAGGTGAGTTATATTCTAAGCTCCGGTCGTTCATGGTTAAATGTTTTGAATATTTTGAATATTTTCTCTGTTAAAAGTTCCAGAAAGGTTGTTTGTTCCACCCTTCACATGGTTTCTATTCTGTAAGTGTTGTTGGGGGAGGGGGGTGTTGGATGGCCGAATGCGCTGTATCATAAGGTCTGTCATTGAGTCACCTGCCGTGGTTTCGATTCCTGAGTTGAACGTGACAAGGAGTAGGGTCGTGTGATCTGTCTAACCTCGTGGGTTTTCTCCGGGTCCTCTGGTTTCCTTCCACTGCTAAAGACCCCTAAGCAAAAGCGAATTATTGAAATAAAATCGAAATGACCTAGTTTGTGTTGAGTGGACCTTAAACCCCATTTCTCTCTCTCTCTCTCTCTCTCTCTCTCCATAAGTGTTGTGTGTGCTCTATCCATCTATTGTTTGTTATGTCTGTATGTTGTTAGACAGTTTTCATTGATTCACCCATACATAAATCTATTCTTATTAGTCCCAGATGTGCCTTTATTAATATTGTAGCCTATTAAAAATAACGTATATTGTTCTCACTCACCACTGCATGGACAAAATTCTCCTTCATCCAAATGTTCATAATTAGGTGTCTTGTGTACATGAGGTAGTAGAGGTTGAATAGAATGAGAAGAAAAAACGAGGTCCCGTGTACACATTGGTGTGCACGTAAAAGATCCCTTGACAGTTGGAATTTTATATGCGAGTAAGCCATAGTGCTGCTGTCCATCATAACACACTGTATGGCGTATGCCTGTCTTCATTAGCCCAATCGGAGCAGAACAGTAGGACGTTAAAACCCATTTCATTTTCATTCCAAAATGTCCATATTGATTTTGCTGAATTGCCACTGTAGGGGCAAAATTCTACATTATCCATTTGTGATTAATCTCAAATTATCACAGTGAAAGTGTTTGAGGCATCAAACATTACTTCATTCGTCACCAACTTGAAAGAAATAAAAGTGAATATGTTCATTCATGGATGAATTAATTGATCATTGCGTGATAAAGACAAGGAGAAACCTCCATTGAAATGGTCGCCAGAAATGAACTTTGAATTAAGCATCTTGTATTCTATATAATTGTGTCGTGTGTTATTCACTCACTGTTAATAAACCAAGATTCTCGATTTCTGTAAATTATTATTATGCTTATAGGTGTGTATTACACAATCTTAGACATGTACCTTATACCTACATTCACATGGACCAGGCAGGTCAAATTCTTTAGTTTTGGCAAACAGCCAACTCCCACTATTTGCCATGAGAATAAACTGAATGTTCATTCATTCATTCAATAATCAGACCTTTTACACTCCCAGCTATACAATATTCTAACATGCATATATATCACACCATCTCTTGTTTATACAAGTACACCAGGCCCCGAATTCACAAAGCATTCTCAGACTTAAGTTAAGAATTTACTCAAAATTGTTCACCTTATTTTAACTAAAATATAGCCCTTTATAAAACTTTTGTTGTATTAATGTAGCAAATACATCAATAAGAAACTATGTCCAAATTTAAGTGTTTCTGGAACAAAGATATTTCTCATAAACAGTGATTGAAAGTTGAGTAAATTCTTAACTTGAGTCTGAGGTATACCATAACACCAGTTTGATATACCGTAGCACAAATTTGATAACACAAGTTTAATGTAACGCAAGTCTGATTTGATACAACATAGGTATAATACAACACAAATTTCAAATAACATGAGTTTGATGTAACACAAATTTTATTAAATTGAATTTGAACACCAGAAAGATCGCATGGATAAAAATTAATCGTAAATCAAGTGCTCCTAAACCGTAAAATGCGTTATTATAATTCAGCTCATACATATGGTGAATATTTATAGAATCTGCTCGCAGATAGAAAAATAATAATTTATTCAAAATAACCTTTTGTTAATCTTTCAAAATGTCTATCAAAAATCCCGAGAGGATGATAGCTGCTAATAGATAGAGAATTACCATCTCTTAGCCTGACTGTTAATCGTCTTCAGCATCATCTATTATGTAGGATCCCCAAAGATTCCAGGCGTCAAATAATACACATTTATCCAATCTTGCAATTGGGTACAAAAATAAACCAGAATGCATTTAAGAGACGTTATTTTTTTTCAAGTCCACGGAATACAGATCAGTGATTCTGTATATCGAGTAGTGCTGGTTATTTTATTTATTCAGATTCTCTGACTTTGACCTGATGCGTCTGGTTATCGTTGTATAAATCAGACTGGAATGACAGAGACTGAATTACAACTTGACTCAAACATCAATAGTTCGTTCATCCAGTGGTTAGATTCTCTCTCTCTCTCTCTCTCCACTTGTTATTCAATATTTGATTCCTGACAGTAGATGAGACTCATTCAATACTAATGGCAGGTTTCCAATTTCTCGCTTTGCTAACCGACTGGGATCTATTTATTTATTTACTGAGAATTTTTAACCGTAAAAATATCCTATGTTTATTTTTTTTAACAATATTTTTTCGGGATATCTGAATGAAGTTGGTGAAGAGGCCTAGCCTGTGTAAAAACAAAACCCGTTCTAATAGCCTATTTTATTTGTCTTTGATTTGTCTTAATGTAGATATAGTTTCAGTCCTTCAGGTTTATAAAATTATGCGAGAGCCATAAAAAGCTCCTGCCAATTTCAAAAATGAGAAAACATTTTACTTGAATTAAGGAGAGCGAAATTGTATTTATGCTTTAGTCTTGTTTAATATTTGGTAAATATGGTAGCGTCAGAATTATCATCATGAAAACTGCTAGCTCGAACATATGCAGTTTAAAAATAAACAAAAAACGAAAGTAGTTTATTAATCTCACTATTTAGGAGAGCGATTTAGCTAATTTGCAGGAGTCTTTAATGATTCCCACCAAGAAAAGTCGAGGTGCGTTGAGAGGAGCTTAAACGTGAAGGACTGCAGTTTATTACTTTAGATGGAAAACAATTACTGGTTTATACACACGCTCTCAAGTTGTGTTTGATAAGAGAACATCATGTTTGTTATATGTTTATCAATCAGTGATTATTTTCCATATAAATTGTGTTGTGTTTTTATTGTGTTTTTATTGTGTTGTGTTTTTATTGTGTTCATTCGTTAAAAGTAACTCAAGGATTAGATTTTTATTTTTTAAATGGTCGGGTGTTCGATCCCTGCATTGGCCGAGAAAGTTCATCGAGATTTTCCAACGTGGTTTCCCCTTGTCAGTGGTGCAGTACGGAGGGTCTGACAAGGACAGCTGTCCAGTCCTTCGGATGAGATGAAAAACCGAGGTCCCGTGTATACATGTACATTGGAATGCACGTAAAAGATCCCTTGGCAGTTGGAATTCGATATTAGAGCAGGCGATAGTGCCGCTGCCCAAGCAAAATTTCCCTCATAGCACACTGTATGGCATATGCCCGTCTTGATTAGCCCGGTATAGGAGCAGAACAGTAGGACGTTAAACTCCATTTCATTTCATTTCATTTCCTTTAATATTTAAATGTTGGTTTTAACTGGATAATCAAGCTTGAAAATAAATCACCTGTTACTGATAATATTAGACAAATTCAATCTTTGTCATTTGCCATGGCTGGAACCACGGTGGCTAAGTGGGTAAGACGTTGGCTCGCTAACCTGGAGGTCGTGACAAAGTTCATCTGATGTGACGAAAAAACGTGGCACCGCGTACACATTGCCATGCATGTAAAAGATCCATCCCTAGGCTAAAGTTATCAATTATCATCCAGCAGTACTAGTTAATCTAATCTAAAAATATCAATTATTGTACAGTAGTACTACATGTGGTTAATCTGGTCTAAAGATATCAAATATCATCCAGTAGTACTGGTTCATCTAGTCTGAAAATATCAATTAACATCCAGTATCAAGATGTTTTATCTTTCTTGGAGTTAAACAAAACAATGATATGAAGCCCTGCTCTTTATACAAGAAGCATTTTAAACAGAATGTTGGCTAGCTGCCAAGGTTAGCAACTGTATGTTTGGTTTTTGTTTCCTATACAAACAGATTGCCGATCTGTTATTGACTTCACTCGTTTGTATCCCACAATTCCTACTCGACAAGTATGGCATTAATTGGTGAAAGGGGTTCGGAGAAGCCATCGCTAGTTATAACCGTTTGAGATGAAATATCCACTTATTCGATGGTTCTTGGAACTAGAAACATGCTTGGCTTTATTTTAACGGTCTTAGCATTTTTAACGTTTCTTTTCATTCCATCTCAGTCGTCTGACTTGATGAATAATTTATTGTTTTCATGATTGAGTTTCCCCAAATAAATAATTGAACTTGGGTCTGAGCTGAATTCATTTATCATAGAGGCAGTAGAAGACGTAGCATTTCTTAATTACAAAGATTGACGAAGCCTTACAACAGTCCATCTATTGACTCTCTGAACACTACTGGGTTATAAACTTCACTTCACACACGATCAATTCATCGAAATGTATTTCCACTGAGAAAAAAAAAATTGGAATGCGAAATTTCGTCATTTATTTATTCATTTTAATTCTGTATTCTGAAAGGCGTGTCATTATTGTTTTATTGGTACATGTGAAGTTATCAGATAATTAGGTTTGCAAGTTTTATTTGATGTGGCGGGGTTTGGTGGCCAAACGGTCTAAGGGGTGCGATTTAGATCATAAGGTCTTGTCATTGAGTCAAGTGGCGTGGTTTTGATTCCCTAGTTGTAAGTGACAAGAAGAAGGGTAGTCTGTCCAACCTCGTGGGTTTTCTCCAGTTTCCTCCCACTGCTAAAGCCCCCTACGCGGAAGCGAATTATTGAAATAAAATTGAACCATATGTTAGTCCCTAAATGACCATATTTGTGTTGAGTGGACGTTTTACTCCGCTTTATTATTTCAATAGTTTGTGTACCAGTAGGTATAAGGCTTTTAGCAAACACAACCAACCATACATGGTATACATGTAGAAACCACACCTCCATAAAAAATTAATTTTATTCAGCCTTACTTGCATTTATCAACATTTTAAACATCAAAACTAAACTTGAGTTTAGCTTTACACATTTAGAAAAGCCGTTGAAATGGCTGGAAAATTCACATTAAAAAAAAAACAATGTTGTAAGATGATGCGCTGTACAAAACTGTATCCATTGGGTTTTTGTTCGTCAATATGTTTGTACATGTATATTTCAACACACATATCTAGTTTTAAATGTCACAGGTGCTTGATAAAAGTGTGAAATATTAGATTGTAATTCAATGTATATCATATTTCACTTCGTCATAAAATATATTTACTCTTTCCGTGTCATGCATGCATCATTGGTTTTTATGAAACATTTCATTTCAAATAATATTTTTCATGAAAGTCAGGGGGGTTGGGTGGCTGAATGGTTAGCAAATGCGTGCTGTATCATAAAGTCTGTCATTGAGTCAACTGCCATGGTTTAGAATCCCGGGTTGAACGTGACAAGGAGTAGGGTCACCTGTCAAACTTTGTGGGTTTTCTCTGGGTCCTTCGGTTTCCTCCCACTGGCAAAGACCCCTACGCGCAAGCGAATTATGAAAATAAAATTGAACCATATGTTAGTCCCGAAATGACCTTGTTTGTGTCAAGTGGACGTTAAACCCCATTTCTCTCTCTCTCTCTCTCTCTCTCTCTCTCTCTCTCACATGAAAGTCATTGGAATTATTTTTAAAAACTTACCATTTTAAAAATTATTACATTTCCTCTGTAATCAGATGTTTTAATCAGAATTGAACGTGAAAAAGAGAGAAAGGGATAGAGGCATTTTATGATCTAAACATATGTTACACATTTGCCAATAAAAACTCAAATAACTGAAAGAATAAGCATGTGGTAAACTTAGCTAGTTGTTTTTCCATTGGGCATCAAATTAAAATGCAAGCAATCGTTAAAACTATGTGAAATGTAAGCCGTTGAGATGCCAGGACTGGTTTATAAATGTGTGAGAAAGCGCAACTATTTATTTGTGCAATAATGGCAGCATACGAGTTTTATATTGCTGTACCTCTGGTTTCCATGTTGATTCACTTCCACACTTCCACGATGAACAATTGATGTACAAGGGATAGAAATATCAGATTACGATGAAATGATAAAATATCTGATCTCAACGGCAGACTATTGATCAGGAGACCCATGAAATATTCAAGATACATTTCGTACTTGAAACTGGGCAAAATGTCAGCTTAAAGAATGCTTAGATTACTGGGAGAACTGATATGCCATAAATTGGTTACAGAAATAATTCCTAGCACTTGTAATCGTTTCTGGTAGAACGATAAATTATCAACATTCCCAAATACCATAAAATAACAAGCCAACTTTGTGTTTGTACTTTTTAACACCAGTTATATAGAAATAGAAATATCTCTTTTATGTAAAATGTAATCTAGTTGTGGGATGGAATGGGTGTAATTTGTGTTCTTTATGTTATGGTACAGAGCTTATTATACATGTACCTGCATTGGCCGAGAAAGTTCATCCAGATTTCCCGGCGTGATTCCCCCTTGTCACTGATGCAGGACGGAGGGCCTGGCAAGGACAGCTGTCTAGTCCTTCGGATGAGACGAAAAACCAAGGTCCCGTGTATACATTGAAATGCACTTAAAGGATCCCTTGGCAGTTGGAATTTGATATAAGAGTAGGCGATAGTGCCGCTACCTGGGCAAAATTTCCCTCATAGCACACTGTATGGCGTATGCCCGTCTTCATTAGCCCAGCATAGGAGCAAAACAGTAGGACGTTAAACTCCATTTCATTTCATTTCATTTCATTTATTATACATGTACCTATCATCTAGTTGTGGGTCGGGGTGCCTATTGTACCTACATGTATCATCTAGTTGTGGGTCAGGGTTCACCTAGTTGTTGGTCAAGGTGTCTATTATACCTATCATCTAGTTGTGGGTCGGGGTGCCTATTGTACCTACATGTATCATCTAGTTGTGGGTCAGGGTTCATCTAGTTGTTGGTCAAGGTGTCGATTATACCTATCATCTAGTTATAGGTTGGACCGGTTGGGGTGAAAAATAGTACAGCGCTTACTGTATCTTAAAATAATCCCAGTGACGAATCTCTGTAACTTACCTGTAACTTACTGTAACTTACCCGTAACTTACTGTAACTTACCTGTAACTTACTGTAACTACCTGTAACTGACTGTAACTACCTGTAACATAGTGTAACTACCTGTACCTGACTGTAACTGACTGTAACTACCTGTAACTGACTGTAACTACCTGTAACTGACTGTAACTACCTGTAACTGACTGTAACTACCTGTAACTTACCTGTAACTTACCTGTAACTTACTGTAACTACCTGTAACTGACTGTAACTACCTGTATAGATAATTCAAAAGAATAATAAACAGTTTACTCTTTACATGCCTACCAATAGAAAACTGAGACAGATTTTAATCTAAAAAAAAAGCTATGAATCTTGTCAATATTTTCAATCCAGTTTTCGAAGTCTAACAAAGATCTTAAGTTGTGATGTCAGTCATAATAAAGATTGTTTCAATCTTGTCGAAGTGATTCATCAAATTTTTTGAAGGCTAGCATGGAAATTGTGAAAAAAAAACACAGTTGCTTTGATTCACCAGTTTGAATCATGTCAAAGTTTTTAATCAGGTTTTTCGAGGCTAGCATAGAAATATCAAATAAGACAGTTGCCTTAAATTACCAGTTTGTTTCATATTAACTCGACTGTATAAATTATAAAGTAAAATTTTTTACAACAGTGAATCTTGAAATAATTTATAACCAAACTTTTTTTCAAAATCGATGTAAAGCATTGGGACTATGATAATATAAGCCCTATTGATTTTCCCACTTTTCCATCCATCTTTTGCCAAAATGTGGATGTATCTTGTTGCTTGGCAACCGCTTGTTTTGTTTTCAACTGATCGTTAATTTACCTTGTTTATTTTCAGGTTCAACTGTGATTCACCCGTCAGTGATTTTGAGACGCGAACACCAAAAGGGCGTGGAAAAAGAAATCGTGGACCCCCGGTTTGTCCCCCAGTAGTGGAAAAGGTGATTAATGAGGGTCGCAAACTTAGAAAAGGGCGCCGAGGCAGCACCGCTAACACATTTCAAGCGCCACCTAGTCCAGCCAAATCAGACGTGTCAACAAGTGGGGGAGTCAAACGTAAGGGCAGATCAGCTGATCTCGAAGTTAACACGGAATTATCAAGAGCTAAGAGGTGTAGATCAAGCTCTCGCGGACCACCAACGCCAGCCCCGGAAGTAAACCTGACCCCTAATAAAGAGGGATTAATAGAATGCCCTGAACCAAATTGTAGTAAAAAATATAAACATATGAACGGTTTACGTTATCATCAAACGCACGCCCATCTTAACCCACTCGCTTCGTTAAACGCGGAGGAAGATATGGACGATAAATGTGACGAGGACGTAAAACCTGAGGTGTCGTCAAAGACAGAGAAAAAGGACTCAAAATCTGAAGCAGCTGAAAAAACTTGCTCCAGAGTTACACGAGAACGTGAGAATTCAATTGAGGATAACATTCCACTTAAAGAAATAGCAGCTAGTTGTCGAGCAAACGCCAATCGTCGTTCTCCTGAAAAGACGAGTGAAAAGCACGATAAACCTCAGGAGAAAAATTCGGACAAACAGACTGAGAAAAGTGACAAAAAGTCTGAGAAGAATTCCGAAAAAACATCAGGGAAAAATGAAGGACATAAAAGTGATAAAAATGATAATACGAAACACGAAAGTACAAGTGGTAACAAACGAAAAGAAAATGAAACTGTAGCTAGTGGCAACACAAGTGTAAATACTTCCTCAAACTCTGTTACTCCTAGTGTTAATTCATCCGGTGCCAATTCCGTATCAAGCTCAGGAAAATTAGCGTCAGTGCCAAGCCAGGTTTATCAAATATCTGGTGCTCCTGTAGGAGGACTCGGTAGTACAGGAGGCGCCACTAAGGTGACTCAGTCGCGAACATCTCTCGTAACGACGCCAGTAGTGACCTCTAGTGGAAGTTCTCCTAGCAACAATCCTCATCCTATAACTGTTCCTGCCATATCGACACCTCCTCATGCTGTAGATTTCACCAAATCAGATAAATCATTGTTAGACAAGTCCAAAAATAAATCGGCCACACGTCCAATCGTACCTGCTCCGTCGCCACAGATGATTGCGCTGACTAGCACCGTGTCTGTATCACATCCCAGTTTGTCACCTGTGTCCACGCATGCACAGATGTCGCCTTCATTAAAACCCATTCAGCCTAAACCCACAATAATGGGGGAACCGTCGCATATTAATCCTGCTCTCGTTGGATTCAAAGACAAAAAATCGAAACCCAAGAAGAAAAAGGAAAAAGATGGTTCTTCGAATGGCGTCGCTATAAATAATAATAACAATAACAAATCACCTAGCTCTAAGGATTCAAATCGCGAGGATCCCTCGAAGGGTGACCGACCTGCTGTGATTAAAACTGCCTCAACTCCGTCCAGACCTGTTGAAAGAAAGGACAAACAGGCCATGCCCAATGAAAATATTAAATCTGTTGTAGATTTAACTCGTAAAATGCCAAATATGGACATCTCTAGAAACTCAAATCAAGCATTAACGTCAGGTATCAACGTGCCAAAACCGGAACAGTCAGCTAATCGATTGTCCACACCTGCAAATCTGCTCAAAGTTAATTCTCCTTTACAAGTTTCCACGGATAGAAAAACTCCAGTCACTGATGATGTACAGAGTCCAGCTTATTCAGATATTTCTGATGCTAATGAATCAAACGGCTCCCCACAGCAAGGTGATAGTCCAAGTAAAAAGGAGAATGCGTCGAAGAAAAGCGAACAAAGCACCAATTCGCAACCACCTGCCCATGATGGTGGTAATGTAGCTCAATATGGCATGTATAACTATTACGGCCAATCGCCATACATGCTGCAACAAAACGTTCCTTCCTCACAGCATTTATCCCCAAACACGGGAAAACCCCGGGACGGACCTTCTTCATCAGCAGAAGAGAAGAAGCAGGCTGAAGATTTAGCAAAGACTCCCATAAAGGTGGAAGAAAAAGAAGAAAATAAAATTGTAAAGCCAGAAGGTGTCGGTGCCATGCCGCCTCAGCAAATGAACGAATACCAGATGCAGCAACAGAAATGGTTCCAGCAGATGTACGCCCAAATACAGACACTGCCTCCACATGCTCAGTATCAATATTTAGCAGCTTATGGAGGATACATGGATCCCAGTTACCAGATGCATCCCAATCTGAGGCAGCAGTACGATAAAGCCATGGAGGATCAAAAACGAGCTCAGGAGCAACAAGGTGGCAGCAACAGCAGCAAGTCCGAGGGGGAAAGTAGCAAAAAAACAAACTCGCGTCCAGCCTCTAGAGAACACCCCATGGATCCCCAGTCTAGCATGAAACTTCCCCATCCACATCTTCCAGTTCCTGTTGGAGCGAGTCCACATGGCGGTCCAGAGATGAAGAAACCTGGTGGTGAACGTCAAGGTGATGTGCGTGACCAATCGCTACGTGAGAAACAGAATGAGAATCATCAGATAATGAAAGAGAATATCGAGTTGAAATCCCAGATGGACCGAAATAATCGCTACGAGTACGATTACAGAAAACAGGAAGAAATGCGACGGTACCAAATGTTCCAACAACAAAAACTCATCGAACAACAGCGAGTTGAAAAACGCAAACAGGAAATGGCTGCCAGTAAACCCCCAGAATTAACGAGTAATGAATCACCCGCAGGAAAAGTTCCATTAAGCCGTCCACAAGATCCAATCAAAGTTGAGGATATAGTTAAGAGGGAGCATGGTGAATCGCGAGTGAAAGATTTCCGGGACAATAATACTGGTAGCAGCAGTGGCAGTAAGATCAACCCAGACAATAAACCTGAGGATAAAAATAAAATAGCGGATAAATTACGAAGTCCAGATGGTAATCCGAGGACACCGAATCATTCTATGCCCCCTAACCACCCTTCTCCTGCTGGTCCGGGTAACAGTGCTCAGTCTCCCGGACAACAGGGTCCTATGCCTTATAATACCTACATGCAGTATCCCGGAGCTTATTTACAATCCCCTCATTACGGACAACTTGGACAGATGCACTTTGATCCCAATCAAGCCATGTATCGTAATATGAACCCCCATGTTTTAGGTTACGCTCCGTCCCCGTATTTACACCCAGCTCAAATGGGAGGACAAATAAACTATCGAGTTTCCGTAGAAACCGAGAAAGAAAAAGTGTTAGAGGGTAAAAGTGCTAGTGTTTCTGGAGATTCGGAAAAACCAGTTGATGGACAATCTGGGTCCGCGTATTTCGGAAATAGTCATAAAATTCACGAATTACATGAAAAGGCCCGTCCCGGTTCCCATAATTCATCTCCAGTTCCCCAAAAATCAATGGATTCTTCACCTCATCAAGGTCTGGAGAAAAATCGGGAACATTCCAGCTCTCCGCCGACCCAGCGACATATTCACACACATCATCATACGCATGTGGTTGGACCGTACCCTCTCGTTCACGGTGGTAAGTGAGAATTTATTTTCTTACTGAAATCTAGTCATTCATTCAGTGCACTCTGGGAATTCTGAAATCTGGGATTTTTGTCGGGATCGACATGACAAGAAATTATTTATTTCATCAACTTTTTGGAGATTTACCTGTTTTTTTAATCGTTACGTACTGGAACCCTAATTGTGAAAGAACTGTAAAAATGTGCTTGGATGTTGGAATTGACCCGAGTGCACTGTAGCTATACATGTACGTACACCAGGATAGTGATATACATTTATTTAATCAAGGTATGCTTTTATTATCATCAATATAACTTACTTACTAATATTGGACTTTCTGGTGAAATAATTTAAGTCTTTTTGTTTCACACGACACAGTTATATGGTATACAAGTTACTTTCTAAGTTTGTTCATGGTTTGCTCGATGAACACAAGAGAACCCTCCTCCAAGAAACATGGCCATAAATATAAACTTGTAAAGTAACTGGTATTCCATAATGTGTCATCTGGTATTCTCATTCTGTTACTAAATGTAAATGCTGCTTAAACCATTTAAGACTTTCTGGTGGAACAATTTTAGTCTTTAGGCTTACCAACTCGTGAAATAATTTAGTCCTATTTAAGCATTAAGACTTTGTGGTTAAACAATTTAAGCTTATCTAATAATATTGAACTTTCTGGTGAAATGATTTTAAACTTTTTGCTTCCAATTATTTATTTAATTAAGTATTAAAACTTTGTGGTTAAACAATATTAGTCTTTAAGTGTACCTCAAGTGTCATTTTTGTTTTAACATTTTCACATTATTTAATTTTAAGTATTAAAGATTGACTATGAAACCCTCTACAACTGCTACTCACTTTTGATTTTTTGTACGGGGATGGGGGGGGGGGGTCGTGTGCTTTAGATCAGAAGGTCTGTCACCGAGTCAAGTGGCATAGTTTTGATTCCCCATGTATTCGTGACAAGGAGTAGTGTCACCTGTCTAATCTTGTGGGTTTCCTCTGGTTTTAAAGACTTCTACATGTATCTGTGAAAGCTAATTAATGAAATAAAATTGAACCATATGTTAGTCCCGAATTAACCTAGTTTGTGTTGAGTGGAAACTATGAAACCCTCTATAACTGCATCTCAGTTTTCATTTCTCATGATCTGGAAGACATATTACTGTATTAATTGATATTGATTCAGCTTGTGACTTGTAATTTAACTCTTCTGTTTACACGGGGAAATAGTAGAAACCTTTCATACACTGGAGAGTGGAGTTATATTTATTGTGCTAGATCTCTTGTTGTCCCAATCGTTGTGGTCATTTTCTTAGTTTTGAATGAACTCCTTACTTAGGCTCACTGATTGTCATTTCATATTGGGTGTTGGATGGCAAAATGGTTAGCGTGTGCGCATTGTATCAGAGTCAACTTGGGTGGTTTCCCATCTGAGGACTAGACACTGTCCCCTGTCAGGCCCTGTGTCCTGCACCATGCCCGGGAAATCAGGATGAGCTTTTCTCTGCCAACATCGGGTGTTCGATCCCTGCATTGGCCGAGAAAGTTTGTCCAGATTTTCTGCCGTGGTTTCCCCTTGTCAGTGATGCAGGACAGCTGTCTAGTCGTGCGGATGGGACGAAAAACCGATGTTCCGTGTACACATTGGCGTGCACGTAAAAGATCCCTTGGCAGTTGGAATTTGATATAAGAGTAGGCGATAGTGCCGCTGCCCGGGAAAAAATTTCCCTCATATCACACTGTATGGCGTATGCCCGTCTTCATTAGCCCAGTATACAATGTAGGAGCAGAACAGTAGGACCTTAAACCCCATTTCATTTCATTTCAATGTTAGCGAGCCACAGTCTTACTCACTGAGCCACCGCAGGTCCCTAATTACCATTACTCAAGCCCCAATAATAAAACTGACAAGCTCCTAATAGTGGTTTAAAGAATGGAATAATTGCTTTAAATATTCTGAGCAAAAAAAAAAATACAGAGTCGATGAATTTAAAAAGAAATGACAAAAGTGAATAATTGAAGATGTACTGGTACAACGTTGATCAATAAAACTTGTGGTGATGGTATAAATACAAGCCATTAAATACCACTACATCAAACTATCCACTATCAGATGAAACGAGGTATGAGATAGTTTATAGCCGATGGGCGGAAGCCTGTTGAAGCAGGGAAAACTCTTATAAATTATTCATTGCTCGCTTGGATAGAAAGATGACATAAAAAAAACAATAATATAATCGTGTTTAATATGTCGGATGAGTTTATGTCAGGAATAAGATATTGCCATAAATACAGGGATAACATTGTTGATTTACATTCTGTGGGTCATTAACAGCGGTTGTAGGTGCATGTTTGTGGAGAAGGGAGTTAGGGTGACAGGGAGGGGATAAAAATATACAAGTTGGCATTCCAAACCCATGATCCCTAACAAGATGTTGGATTTACTAGGAGAAGGGCGTGGAATTTGAAGTTCATTAAGAAATTGTTGGTGTTGAGAATAGAAGCTTTCTATTAGTATTTCTCTACGAGTTGGGTGACAATTCGTCCCTGGACAATTTTTCCCCAGATAATTCGTCCTAGGGCTATTCAGGGACGAATTGTCCAGCATCAAATATTTCTAAGAAATGAATTGTCTGTGAACTGAGATATTAGCTTTTGAATTTTAGGCTAGCCTCAGTCATCATTACTAAAGTTGGTACGATAAAAAAACAGTCTCGATTATCCATTAAAAAAATGTATTCCAATCCACTAAATATCACAGGCTAGCAATGGCATCGGGAGTTGAATATGGTCTGGATAAAAGACAAAGTCTTGATTATCCATTCAAAAAATGGAGAGTTGAATATGGTCTGGATAAGTTAATTAATTAATGTCTAATTAATAATTTAGAAAACATTTCAGACCTAAAGAAAGACCTGCAATAGACAGATTTAGCTCTTGCATAGTGCATCTTTAAGCTGTGAAATATTAGATATTGTTTTAAAAGATGTGAGTAATGATCCCAAGCTGATAAATAATGAGACTTGTTAAAAAGAAAAATTCCGATTGACTCGACTTCAGATGATTATTTTTCATATTTGTTCGTAATTTGATAGCGAGTAATAAATCTTCTGGGAGAATTTCCAAGTGCCTTATGTAAAATGTCTGGAAAACGTGATAGGACGTCTTAAGCCATCTACATTGCCTTGAAGCCATTTTCTTGATTGAGTCTGGACAATAGAGGGGGGATTATTGATTAGGACGTCAAGTCTCGAAGGAAGTAAACTGACCGAATGGATTTTTCTTGGAGAGAACGAGAGAACAAATTGCTTGTATTGCCATGATCAGTATTTCTAGCGTAATACTGATTACTTAAGGACATTGTCGTCTGCTTGACTATTGTATAAAATGGCGGGAAGAAAGAGATGCTGTACAATCATGTACATGGTCATTTTGTTTAATTAATGAAGCCGTTTACTCGCGTGGCTATTGTTGAAATATCTTTTTGAGACTTTTATTTTTATTGGTCAGCCTTTAGGATGAAAATAAAATACAGAAGTCCAGTTGACTATGTCAAAAGATCCTTTTTAAACGTGAAATTAGGAACCTGAAATGACGCTGTCGGGGCAGAATTGTCTAACTTTCCCTCTTGCTGCCTAGACATTTATGAAATGACCATTTATCAGTATCAAATAATTGAAGTAGCATATTGACGTGACAATAACTCACTTCTATCTTTTAGGTATATGTAATAATCAGAAACCTTATTTTATTCAACAATCTGGTTAAAACACAGATCCTACATGTATTTCGTTTCGTTTTTATAGTTCAAAATTTCGTTTTACTTGTCTTTACTACACTTGGATCTGGAAGAGTTGTTATTTAACTCGTGTTCTGAATTGTGTCGGGGATAAGCCAATGAAACGATCTGTTACGGCGAGCTTTAGGCGTGTTTTTCACGGAACTGTTGGTAATCCACTAGTAACATCAATGCTGATTGGTTAATGAAATGTATGACGTCATAGGGTCATTAGTCGGTCTTTTGACCCCTGGCGCGATCTATCACTATAACTTGTCAGATCTTCATGTAGTGTAGGCCATCGAAAGTATAAAAAAACGAAACGTAGATCTGTGTTTTAATCAGATTGGGTTTTCAACAACTGTTACAAACATTTTAATTATTTTTTTTATTGTCTGCAATGTCAGCATCCTGCATGAAAGATTTTATTAAGTGGAATACAACACTTTGCTTGAATTGATAAATAAAACCATCCTTAATCCTATATAAATATTTTATGAATTTGTTCATCTGTTGTTATCCCTTTAAACTGTGTTCAGTGAAGTATGAAATATTGGGTTAGAGTTAAGTGAGAGTTATGTGTTTATATCATAGTTCATGCTTCACTGGTCATCTATATATATATATATATATATATATCATAACTCACTTCACATTCCAATTTACGATTTATTGATCTCGGTCTCTGTGTATATCACCGGATAAAACTCAGCGTGTAGTTTCGTTCTATTCAACATTATTATCATTACAAAGATTTTATATAGGGCTTCAATTCTATAAAAGTCGATTTATTACGCGCTCTCTACATAGTATATATATATATATATATATGAACAGACAGATACAGACTGTATAGGGAGAAATAAACTAAATATACATAAATACAAATAAAATGTGAAATTAAAATAGTAACAGGGATTTCGAAACTTTAAACCATTTTCTCAGAAACAAATAAAAAAGGACAAGTTTTTTTAAAAGTTTTAAATTTAAAGTAGTAAATAAACTAAATGTGGGCCTACATAAAATGTGAAATTAAATAGTAACAGGGAAATTGGAACTTCAATCCAATTTCTTGGAAAATAAAAATTAAACAAAAAATATACATATATTTAAAGTTTGTGATCGTTATTTGATAGACATTTATCTACATTGGGTTGATTTCACGGGTAAAAGAATAAAATCAGATTGCAGAAAGATTAATTTTCTCTTTAAAAGTCTTTGAGTGGCCGCGTTTACACTCGGCCACAATAAGCATTCCCTTGGAGCCACAATAAGCATTCCGTTCTCGGAACCATTCCAGATCATGGTAAATTTGAAATAATCGTTGAACGGAATATCATTCTGAAAATGGTTCAATTCCATTCAGTATTTAGAAAGATATGGTGAACTGAAATTTGTCAACATATTCAGCATGGGTGCAGGCTGTTTCGTAACCTGACTGTTTCGTACCTAGTTTATTTATGTCATCGATAATCCCGACTCACTCATCAATTATCATCAATAATCCCAAACTCACTCTTCAGAATGGTTCAATAATCAACACCTGATTAAATAGGAACAAAAGGCAAAGAAGCAGTATTTGTTTTGTTTTGTTTTTCAAATATCAAATATCGTTAATAATCCCAACTTACTCATTAGCTGCCATATTGTAGTCGCATCATGTCTTTTCACTCAGTTGCAAAAGTAATCTAGGTGACATGAAATCATGTGCATGTTCTAATTCTAATTCAAATCATTTAATGATGCGGTAAGGTTTCATCTTTGTTTCAACAACATTTATAGGAAAGGTATGAATCTATTCGAAGTACGAATCAACTAGGTACGAAATAGCCAGGGCCCTGTTTGTCGAAATCTTAACTAAAATAAAATCCAAATTTTAGTAGATACTTCAATTTTGATTGGCTAAGCACTAAAATCAATCTAATATTATCCAATCAAATTACTAGAATCTGGATTTTATCTTAGTTAAAATTTCGTGAAACAGACCCCAGGTTACTAAACAGCGCGCATTCTTCACCATCGATTGACTTGTACAGATTGCACTAAAATAGATACATGATGGAAGCATTGTATGAACATAATTGCAAACTGCTGTACATATGAAACTGAATAAGTTAATAAAAAAACAAAAAAACAATGTTATTATTTGTATGAAGTGAAAGATAAAATTGCATTGTGTTGTAAATTTAAAACAGGATACGTTTAAAAAAAATAACAATATAAAAACTGTTTTAAATCAAATGTGATACATTGTTGTGTGTAAATAACTGTAGAAATCCTTCTCAACATATGGTTTCTATATGATCATAAATATTCTTCTTGTCACGAGATTGAAAGCTTTATAACTTGTAGGGTAATATAGATTGTAATTTCTGGTTGTCCAGACATAAACGTGAAGGTCTGGCGATAATCAATACTTCAACAAGGAGAGAATGATCCATATTTGATTAAGTTTAATACAGTCTCGCGTATAGCGTAATAACGTCTTTCGTTCACTAAGAGTCGAGCGTAATGTCATTTGCTAGCGGCTAGAGGCAAGTCGTTAATAGAGCTAAGAACGAACAAGTATAAACCCTGTAATTGAATCATACCTACTGGACGTCGGAATCTACAAATTTTGGTCCCAAATCTAAATTCGTTTAAATACATTTGTCCAAATGTTTAGTACCCATAAATGTAAAGAGGGGAGTGGGGGATATAGAAATGAAATTTGATTTGATCAGCTGCAGGATATTTTTGGTTTGAAGGCAGAATACTGGAATAGTTTCATGTTTTTTGGCTAGTTAGATTATTACGTAGATTTTCTTCGGTGTTAGCATATTAGTAAACAGGTCACAATTCTAGGGAATACAATTATTGTTTACTGAGCAACTGTTTATTACTGAGAGACTATTTGTTTGTTACTGAGCGACTGTTTGTTTATTACTGAGCGACTATTTGTTTGTTACTGAGCGACTGTTTGTTTGTTACTGAGCGACTGTTTGTTTATTACTGAGCGACTGTTTGTTTGTTACTGAGCGACTATTTGTTTGTTACTGAGCGACTGTTTGTTTGTTACTGAGTGACTGTTTGTTTGTTACTGAGAGACTGTTTGTTTGTTACTGAGCGACTGTTTGTTACTGAGCGACCGTTTGTTTATTACTGAGTGACTGTAGGAAATAAAGATAATAATATCATTTATAAAACGTTTTTATACTGGAAAAACAGTTCCTAAGACGCTGTTGGTTGTTATATCCACTGATTATTTACAGATCAGGGCCCTTATTCACGAAAACTTAAACTAAGATACAATTGAAATTTTAAGAAATACTGCAATTCGATTGGCTGACCAGTAAAATCAATTTGCATATATCCAATTTGCATATTGGTCAGCCAATCGAATTGCAGTATTTCTTAAAATTTCGATTGTATCTTAGTTTAAGTTTTCGTGAATAAGGGCCAAGGGCTTTGAAACAAGAATGTTTTGAGTTGAGATGTTGGACTCTAAATAGCCTAGTTTGTGTGGAGTAGACATTTAATACTATCTCTCCCCCATATTCTAGGCCTTGTACTTTAGACAGTTTTAAATGAAATACAAATCATTCTCCTTCTAGTTCTCACATTTTTCAGGCCACCAATATCTGTAAATCAATCTCTCTCAGTTCTACTTTAGCTCCTTGTGATATTTTCCGACCAGGTATTTTATGGACAGGGTTTTGTTAAGTTGTATGGTTGTATTGTTATTGGTGTGACTGATTGTATGACAAGGGTTTGATTACTTGTCTGTATTGATCCTGCTTTCCCTCTCGCTCTCTCTCTCCTTTCATACATGATTATTTTACTCCACTCTTATAATCAACAAACAGATGGTCCACGGTTATAGTCAGTTTCAGATTGGTGTACAACAGTAGGACGTTAAAACCCCTTTCATATCTGTGTGGCGTATCCCTGTCTTCATTAGCCCAGTGGGAGCAGAAAAGTAGTATGTTACATATGTAAATTGAATATATCGAGTCGTCTAACTTGCCGATGAATGTTTATTATTATTATTATTACATATATTTATATAGCGCTCCTTTTATGATAAACATGTTCAGATGCGCTTTACAATAAACAAAATAACATAACACAATGGATAAAATCACAATATCAATATAGAATATAGATGGGGTTTTAAAAATATGTAGTTTGTGTAAAAATAGAAATATAGAAATCAACATATAAATAAAAACAGTAATATATAAAGTGTAAAAATAGAATTATGTAAAAGCAAGAGTAAATAGGTGGTTTTGAGTTTCGTTTTAATAACGGGAAGCATTTTGACATCAGCAGCAATGTTTGTTATTGTATCTATATATAGTATGTGTAAATTATTTTATCCATATATAGTATATAAATATAAATATATCTGTGACTTGTTAAAAAATAAAATATTGTTTAATGACTTCATAAACAAAAATAAATAGATGTGAAATGCTATTTCATATGGGGGGGTTATAGATGTGAAACCCTATTTCATATATTTGATACAGTTATAGATGTGAAATGGTATTTCGTATGAGGGTTTAGGTGGCCGAATGGATAGTGAGTGCACGTTGTATCATAAGGTCTTTCAATGAGTCAACTGGCAGGGTTTTGATTCCCCCGGTTGTACGTGACAAAGAATAGGGTCGCCTGTCCAACCTTGTGGGTTTTCTCTGTGTTCTCTGGTTTCCCCCTACTGCTAAAGATCCCTACGCGCAACCGAATTATTGAAATAAGATTGAACCATGCTAGTCCCAAAATGACCTAGTTTGTATCGAGTGGATGTTGAACCACATTTCTCTCTCTCTGGCTATTTCATATCTTTTGATATACCAATGTAGTTATAAACCAACAGGTGTTAGTTAAACAAATGAAGGAACTTGTTGTATGTTTTGACGTGGCTGATCTTTAACCTGTTTTGTCAGAAGATAAAACAAGACACAAGTTGTGTTGAACACTTGATAGTAAATAGTTATCATGTGGGATTAAATTCCTCGAGGACTGGTCGAAGGGGAGTGGGGGGGGGGACCACAAGGATTTATATTTCGTGATTGAATTCCCCTAGAGGACTGGTCGCTTGGTTTAATATTTCATGGTTGAATTCCCCTAGAGGACTGGATTTTGTACAGAGTTAACATATTAGTACACAGGTTACATTTCTAGGGGGAATATTATTATTGTTTTATTACTGAGCTACAGACTGTTCTATTCTTTATTAAATACACCGGTTAATACTATGGAATACAATTACTGTTGATTACTGAATTTGTAAAACATACCATTGTTTGTTTTTTTTTCTCTGTGTTAATTTTAGTTGATCAATTAAATTAACGTTTTGTTTTTGTTTTTTTCAGCAGCTCTACTTCCACCTCAAGCCTCACCTAGTATCCCCCACAACTACAGCAACAAATAAATTATAATCTTACCAGACAACAGATTCATTCATTTGTGTTGAAAGTGGAATTTGGTGTTCCGATAATTACGTATTTCTGACAGAAAGTGTGGATTATATATTACGAGAGAAACTGGATACTTTTAGTTCTTAATATATTATTATTATTATTATTAACAGCTTATACAGTGCTTCAAACAGAATATTGTGATATAAACTTTAAAATGGATAAATTGCTGAACTCTCATTCAGTATTTTGGTTCAGTTATTTAATTTGTAAACAGAGTGTTGTTCATAGTGTACATTTGAACGAACGAACGAACAAGAGGATTTGATGTATTATTTTCATTGAAAACTTTTCATGTATTTCTTGTGTTTTTTGAGTGAAAGCAATCCGAGAATATATGTGACGAAAATGTGAATATTATTTGTACAAATGAAAAACAATTGCTTTGAATTTTTTTTATACAAAAGCAATATAACATTTAAAATATTTTAATTTTGTGTTATCTTATGTGATTCGTTTTGGCGCAAACTTGCCATTTTAGTTTGCGGTGAAATTTATTTTCATGTATTATATGCCTGGATTATTTCGGTGCTATGTTATTCTATTAATAGGCCTACAATAGTACGTGCATTCTGGCTGACTAATCGGTGAGAATTTAGGACGAACAAGTGGCAAGATTTAGCCCTTGCTTTATTCGATGTTCAAGAAGGACAAGAAAAAATCAAATTAGATTCTGTGCGAGGTTGGCATTATTGGGATATTTGACGAGGTTTAGAAGTTTAAAGCTCGTCTTTGACGTGGCCGTCTCGCGGAGCTTGGATGTATTTTAAACAGACGAAAGAGATTTGTGTGTTATAGCGTTACATATTGCCCACAGCTCCCTCTGCTGGCAAACATCTGCCTCGTTCACTTTTTAATGAAACGAGGAATGCGAGGAGAACTAATAAAAGACTCGTGGTAATTTTACCCGACCAATTCCACCACAGGATACGAAAACCATTCAGGCATTTGGCATTTTACTGCCATTTTTCTTCTCAGGTCAGATTGCTATTGGCAGAAAGGAAAAATTTGTTTCGAGGATATTTTCTGGTCTCGGTAGTATGCTGATTAAAGCTTTACGATAGGATTCTTTTTTTTTTTTTTTTTTTTCCCCAACAACCTTCTTTCTCAACATGCCAACATGCCTAAGAGCAATCTCTCGTTTTTACTGAAAACGTAAATAAATAGGAGAAATCCTTCTTAAATAAACTTCGTTATAGTCACGTATTACCTCTTGTGTCTAGATCGTCAAGACGCTTTTTGTATAGAACATTAACAATAGCAACTTCACACCTTGAGTCTGAAATATCAAGTCATTATTGATTCACACCTGAGCCAGGATTATTTAAGAACTTTTATGTAGCATTGACCTTTTGTGCTGAACTTAAAGCCTTTATCTTCCAGACCGTATAATCATTTTTATATTGGCTGTGGATATTTTTTGTCTTGCTCAACAAGACATACATTGTAGTTCAGGAACATGAGAGTACAATCTAATTTCAGCGAGTTCATATTCAGATTTGAGGAAAAAAACAACCCAAATAAAAATATCCTGTTAAATAATAAACTACTTTATGTCAAATTAAGTGGCTCATATCAGGATATCATTCTTGCACCAGGATCTGTAAAAAAACAAAAACCCCAAAAACAGTAACCTAAACAATATCCTTTATTCAGTATTCTCAAAAAATACATGTGCTTTAAAAAAATTTATGTTTTCTCCGGAAATAGGCTATCATGAGGAATGAATACCCCATATAACAATTTATGCTGCCCCTCGATATCTATATGAACACCCTAAGACCAGTATATCCCCTCACCACCCCCATCTATAAGTCCAGTATATCCCCCCATCACTCCCATCTATAAGTCCAGTATATCCCCCCCACCACACCATCTATAAGTCCAGTATAACCCCCCCATCTATAAGTACACCCTAAGTCCAGTATACCCCACCCCACCCCCCTTCCTGAATGTATAATAATTTTAATGTGAAAGTGAATACATATATAAAAATCCATGGTAAAGTGTAAGAATGATTCCCAGTGTGTAATTATATTTGTAAATGATGTAAATCTATTGGCAGCAGTAATTAGATAATTAATTGTTCGTTAGATAATTAATCGTTAGTATATTTCAGTTAAAAGGGGGAATAACTCTCTCGGTCGATTTAGTTTATTTATAGGATGATAAGTTCTAATGTTTCAATTCATATTGTTTATTGGAATTGTTGAATATAGGCCCAGAATTTTTCTGTATTTTCTTGAATATCTTTTGGGGGAATTATTCACAAAAACTTGGGACGGATTGATATATAACCCATTAATTCTTGGTACGTGTAAATATTGAAGACTTCTTGTCCTTGAAGAGCATTAGAGAAAAGTGATATATTAATTTCAGTATATCTCTTGATAGATTGAAACTGTCTATAAACTACTGCTCTCTAGACCACCTCAAACTGTTCTTTGTATTGTAGGACTGTGTACATGTTCTTAGGAGCACTGTATGGTCTAACAAGCAATAAACTACTGCTCTCTAGACCACCCCAAACGATTCTCCATATTGTAGGACTGTATACATGTTCTTAGGAGTACCGTAGGGGCTAACAAGCACTAGTTTCAGACAGTCCAACTGCTAATGGGTTAAGGATACTTGTATAGTCAACCGGATGGGGTAAAAAAACTGAGTTCCTGTGTGCACATTGGCATGCACGTAAAAGATCCCTTGTTAGTTGGGATTTGATATAAGAGTAGGTCGTAGCACTGCTGTTCGGGACAATTTTTCCTGATAGCACAGTGTATGGCGTATGCCCATCTTCATTAGCCCAGTTGGATCCGAAAAGTAGAAATTTAAACCCGATTTCAGTTCATTTCAGTCAAGGATACTATGAATTCATTGGTTGGATTAGAGTTTAAAATTCTTGTTTTGGTCCAATAAAATTGCAGTATTCTTAAAGAAACTTAAAGTTTTTGTGAATGAGTCTCCTAGGTTTTTATTCAATGAGAATTAAACGGAAATATTTTTTGGGGGATTCTGTGATTTCATTGGCTCAGAGTTCAAATCATAGCGCATGTTTAATCTCTTGTCAGCCAATGAAAATACAGTATGATAAAATGATTTTGAAATGTTTATGAGTTGGTGCCCAGTGTGTTGTATGTACATGTATATATGTGTATACTATGTAAATATATATATATATATAATGATTTTGTTTTATATAAGAGATGATTTGATTGGAGAGAATGAGCGATGTCGATGTTTTATAATTTACTATTGGACAAGGAACAATGTTTTAATTGTTGTGGTTTTTTTTTCTATGATGTGAAAGTGAGATAGAAGAAAACGTGTAAATAGTGTTGTGTATGTATGAATGATGAGTTACCGTGGTAACCAGGAATATAACTTTCACCAGGTATAAAAGATATAGTCATGATTGAAGTTATAGCTTAGTTATATACTTCAAGCTCCTATGTTATAATAAAATAATACATTTATTACATCATGTTTTTGTATTTTGACTTATTTTTTCGATAAACAAAAGTGGGACCCACAGTGGCTATGTGGGTAAGACGCTGGCTCGCTAGCCTGCAGGTATTGTGTATGATCCCTGCATTGGCCGAGAAAGTTAATCCAGATTTTCCGACGTGGTTTCCCCTTGCCAGTGGTGTGGAGCAAGAGTGAGGGCCTGATGAGGACAGCTGTCTAGTCATGCCGAGGTCCAATGTATACATTGGCATGCATGTAAAAGATCTCTTGGCATTTGCAATTCGATGTAATAGTAGGCTGTAGTGCCGCTGCCCGGACAAAATTGCCCTCATAGCACACTGTACGGTGTATGCCAGTCTTCATTAGCCCAGTTGGAGTAGGACATTAAACCCCACTTCATTTCATTTCGAAATGTGTAGCCTGACATAGGGGTTGGGGGGGATGTATGGTCTAACACAAGCACTTAAGTTCATAAGGTCTGTCACTGAGGCAAGTGGCGTGATGTTGATCCAACACTTGCACATGACAACGCATAGCCCTATGGCTGAAGTTAATCTTGAAATAGAGGCTAGACTCACCTTATTCTGCTCTGACTGGGCTAATGAAGTCAGGCATATGCCATACAGTGTGCTATGAGGGAAATTTTGCCCGAACAGCAGCGCTACAGCCTACTCTTATATCGAATTCCAACTGTCAAGGGTTCTTTTATGTGCACGCCAATGTGTAGACAGAAAATTGGTTTCTTGTCCCATCCAAACGACTAGACACGATCCTGGCCAAGCCCTACGTCCTGTACCACAGAAAAGGGGGAATTTTCTCAGCTAACATCTTTAACGAGCCAGCATCTTACTCGCTGAGCCATCATGGCTCCTGCATGGAACTCGGAGAATCGTCGGGATGTGTTAAGCTTAATCCCAAAATACTAGGTTTAATCTCCGTGGGGCTGATAATAATAATAGTGAAGAAAGGAATGAAACAGGAGTTTACGTCCTACTTTTCTGATCCATCTGGACTAATGAATACGGGCCATGGGCAGCATACTCTTCATCGTGTTTCGTCTGTCAAGGATTCAGTTGGAATTCGAATTAAGAGTAGGCCGTAGTTCCGCTTCCGGGCAAAATTTCCCTCATAGCACACTGTATGGCGTATGCCCGTCTTCATTAGCCCAGTTCGGAGCAAAACAGTAGGACGGTCGTTAAACCCCATTTCATTTCATTTCTGTCATGGGTTCTTTTACATACAGGTCACAAGACTTTGGTTTCCATCTCATCCAAGGGGTCCTGGGTGTGAGTTAGATCATAAGGTCATTGAGTCAAGTGACATGGTTTTGATTCCCCGCTTGTAAGTGACAAGGGGTAGGGTCGCCTGTCCAACCTTGTGGGTTTTCACCCCACTGCTAAAGGCCCGTACGCCTAAGCAAGTTATTGAAATAAAATGTGTCGAGTGGATGTTAAACCCCATCTCATCCAAACATCGTGTGATGAAAGAAACGGTGACCTCTATATAGTAAAGTATGACAATGCCATATTTTGGGGGGGGGGGTGATGTATAAGTCGTCTAACCCACCCACCTACCTTCTAGATCAGATTTGATGATCAAATCCTCCATCCTAAACCCTGACTTTGATTGGTACCCATAGAAACGATGTGGTCAGATGATGGTGTAATATAGTACGATATGTGATGTTTACAACTCTCTGCACTGAGTCATGGCCATCCGTTAATGACTTCAACTTAACAAACAAGTCATACATTCATTATACCAGGGAAACATCTTCATCAAGATCAAATAAACCAAAACACCACTCGTCACTTGTATACATACAAATAACTTCACGGGTATTATTCTCACGGGGAGGTCAACATCCACTTGACTAATACACGAGAGAGGGTTTAACAATTACTCGACACCTACTAGGTCATTTCGGGACTAACATATTGTTCAATTTTTTTCAACAATTCGCTTGCGCGTGAGCGTCGTTAGCAGTGGGAGGAAACCTGAGGACACGGAAAAACAGGCATTCGTCATGTAATATGCTATGACTTTTAAACGGACAATTGTCCCGAACAGTGGGGTTTCTATGTACGCCACCATCGAATTCCAACTTTTACAGTGGATCTCGTTTTTTTGTCCCACCTGAAGGACTAGACACCGTTCCTTACAAGTAGGCCTATCTCCGCCCTCCTCTACTGACAAGGTGAACTCATGCTGGGAACTTCCAGAGTCTGTTGTAAATATAAATATCGTGTTGGAAGCCCAGCCCTAGGGTCCCAACCTACACAATCACATACAGGAATACAAACCAATCTGATTAACATGAAGATCTATATTTCGTTTCGTTTTTTTTATACTTTCGATGGCCTGCACTACATGAAGATCTGACAAGTTATAGTGGAAGGTCGCGTCATAGGTTATACGAGAGCCTTTTGACCCTATGGCGTCACATCAACCAGAACGTGGGTTATATAACAACTCTTTCAGATCCTTGTGTAGTAATGTTGAACTATAAAAAACGAAACGAAATAGGATCTGTGTTTTAATCGGATTGGAATACAAATATAGATGGTGGATAAAATTAAACATAATAGTTATTGTATTGGTTCTTCAAACAGAATCAGTTTTTAAACAATAAAACAAAATATGCTGTACAACAAAGATGGTGCCCCAGTGTAACCACCCAGCGTGCCCATATGTTAAAATGGCTCAACTCAGAACAACTCAGATATATTGATGATATGGTAAATTTATAATGATGATTAAATGTACATCAAACCAGCCGAGTTCACAAAACATTCTCAGACTCAAGTTAAGAATTTACCAATCTTTCAATCGCTGTTTATGAGAAATATTTTTGATCCAGAAACAAAACTTTGCACATAGTTTCCTATTCATGTATTTGATACATTAAAACAACAAAAGTTTTATAAAGGGCTATATTTTAGTTAAAATAAGGCGAACAATTTTGAGTAAATTCTTAACTTAAACATACATTACGCAAGAGTTAAATCTGCCTATTGCAGGTATTTCTTTAGGCCTGAAATGTTATATAAACTATTAATTAGACATTTATTAACAAAACAAGACCATAATCGACTCTCGATGGCCTCGGATACTCGAGATTTTAACTAGATTAAAACGGTTCGCCATTTAAAAATTTAATTTAAAAATGGGAAAGCTGGACTAAGTCCCGATTTTAACAGTGCCCTGGTTACCACTGTGCACACATCTTGTCAAAACTACAAACAATGATAACTTGGCTGAGAATGAAGTAATTTGAATGAAATTTTCAATATTTTCTTTTTTTATCATCTATTTTTGAATTATTATATAACAAGAATGACCAACTCGTTATTAAACTCTTAACTAATGTATCTTTAAGTCTGAGAATGCTTTATGAACTCTGGATGACGTATGGTGTATATATTATTTAATGAGCATGTGTTTATATATAGATATTACCTGGTAAATAATGATATAACTGATATACAACACAATCTTTACCATGACATATCACGTAATTAACACCCGTATATAATGTAATACTTATATTACACACTATTTGGACCATAGCCAATCTTTAAAATCGCTCATCGCCATTTGCATTTTTCGGACACATATGGCGTATCCCGTCTTTGGATGGCCAAATGATTATCGCGTGCGCGTTGAATCATAAGGTCTGTCATTGAGTCAACGGATGGGGTTTCGTTTCCATGGTTGTACGTGACAAGGAGTAGGGTCGACTGTCCAACCTCGTGGGTTTTCTCCGGGTCCTCCGGTTTCCTCCCCTGCTAAAAACCCGTACGCGCAAGCGAAGTATTGAAATAACATTGAACCATATGTTATTTCCGAAATTACCTAGTTTGTGTCGAGTGGACGTCACCCCCCCCCCTCTCTCTCTCTCTCTGTGTTAGGACGTTAAACCCATTTCATTTCCTGTGTGGCTGGATTTTCCTTCAATCTGGACTGTATTTGAGACGTGTGTAAAATGGTTTATGTCATGGGATTATATATGCTGTCGAAAAACAGAAAGGACGGGGGATAATCTCTTTCAAAGACAAAGGACCTTGTCATAAGCGAGTATGTTAAAGGCTCAATACCACTCTTGTTGTAACTGAATAATATGTCCTAATCTTTATTCTGGTCAACAAATTGTACTATTTTACAATATTCCAATTAATTGATGATAAAACACACCTGATTTAAAAAATTGGAAAAATTCAACAAAATGATTTGAAAACCCTAACGTAAAGCTTTTCAAATGGGACTTGGATTTAAAAATATTTTTGAACTCTCTGGACAAGTAAAATAGGATTTAATGGATAATTTACACAACAGGTAGGACACTAACACATCTAGTACTTAGAATAAGGCTATTTTTTATTTTCTGGAGTTGTCAAGTCAGCAAGAGTGTTATTGTCCCTTTAAGATATGCAACAAATGATATATTTTATTAAGGGTGTATTATTTAAGATATAGATAACAAGCTGGCCATTCTTGCTATACAAATTACAAAACAGATAATTCAAAACTAATATGTTGAAAGTTTCATTCAAATTATTTTATTCCAAGCAAGGTAATCATTGTTTGAAGTTTTGACAAGATGTGGAAAAGATTGTCTTTTATTGTAGCAACTTAACTTGTAAAAAATCGAGACTCAGTTTTGCTTCTCCATTTTTCATTTAAATTATTAAATGGCGATATTATTTCAATTCGTTTACATCTGCGCCATCCGTTGGCCGAGAGAGTTGATTATAGGCTTGTCATATGAATAATTGTCTAAATAATAATTTACATAACAGTGGAAGCCAAAAAAAACCCCTGTAATATGCATCTTTAGCTCTTACATAATGCATCCTTAATTAGACATGTAATAAAGTAATGGGCGCTATATCACATGAAATAAGCGTAATAAAACTAAACCTGCGGGCACCTGTTCTATAAAACATCCTACCTGTCTAAATATACTGTCTCGTTTCTTACATCTCGTGTACCTGCGTTACTAAAACATAAAAATCA